GAGTCTTCCTATCACCATACGTGCTGGAGACTCACCCCTCGCTGCCTCGTTGGCTTGGCTTGGGGAAGGCACTCACCTTTTGGGGCGATCGAGAGGTGGAGGTGTGTGGGTGGAGGGGGTGGTTGATGGAAGTGGAGCTGACTCTTTGGCTGCCACAGGTTTGTGAGCCTGCTCATGCCACCGCAGACGCGTCACACGACGGGGGTGGTGAAGAAGACGCTCGACCCGGTGTTCCCGCCCGAGACGAGTACTTTTGACTTTCCCATCTACCTGAGTTTGGCCGGGGTCGTCGGTGGGCGTGGTATCGAGGGCGTCTTGTGGGACAAGGTGAGCAGCAGATGTATAGTGCGAGGTCGCGACTAACGGATGGTGTGCAGGACTTGATGAGGAAAGAGTACATGGGCGAGCTGGCTATCCCCATTGAAAAGTGGTTCCCGGATGGTCAAGTCCACCTCTGGCACGACAACCTCCCCGTGCGTAGCGCTTTCTCTACTCCGATGACAGAAGCTGACGACATGATTTAGCTCCTCACCCACCGCATTCTCTCCACGCGCCGGAAACACAAAGTCTCGGGCACCGCTTCCTTCCAAATCGGGTTTGTCCCTCCGAAGGACGTGCCCCCCGAGGAGGCTCTCAAGAAGGCCCGGCTGGTGTACGGCGCGCTCGTCGAGCAGGGAAGTGTCGGGCGAGGAACCCTCGGCGTCCTTGGGGTACCTGCTGTGAGTTGCCATCTCCTTTCCTGGTACATCACCCGAAGATCTGCAGCTGACGCCCCGCACAGCACAAGGGTATCGGTACCGTCAAGATGCGCCGCAGGGACTCTGATGCCCTCGGTGGTGACGCCACGGCCGGCCTCGGTATCGTCCACATGGCGTCCGCGGCCATCGCGGGTTCGTTCGCTGGCGGCCATGCGATGTCCCCCGTCCCGGGCAACAAGGGCCGCCCCGAGCCTGTCGAGGACGAGGACGACGAGATAGAGGGCGAAGACGACGATGACGACGACCTGTCTGACGATGGGATGTCCAGCTCTTCCTCGGATGAGTTTGAGGATGCCGAGGATGAGCACCTGCCTGTCACCGAGTCACCCTCTGTCGCTGAGACTGCCGTCGAGCACCTGAGCGGGCAGACCGCGGGACTGTCGATCAAGCCCACCGACATCCCAGCGGACGACCGCGTGCCCAAGACGGCCGGCTTCCTCGCGCCGAGCAACAAACCCAAGACGCCTTCTCGCCAGTCTTCGCTCCCCTCGGGGTACTTTGAGCCAGGCTCCTCCGCGGCCATGACCAAGTCGGGCTCTGCCGACTCCGGCACGTCGAGCCCCGGCACAACTACCCCCGGGGCGTTCACTCCCGGCGGCAAGACACGTAGGCCATTGTTCAAGAGGGGGAAGAGCCGGACGGGGAGCTCGACAGAGACCAAGACGGTGGAGAAGAAGGCGTCGAGAGGGTTCAACTTTGATTCGAGGAAGGGCAAGGAGGTACTTGGAATTGTCATTCTCGAGATCAAGTCGGCGGCCGACCTCCCCAAGCTTAAAAATGGTGAGCTATACTTGTGCCTACCGCTAAACACTTGATCTAGCTGACCATCTGGCAGCTCTGCGAGTGTCCTTTGACATGGACCCCTTCGTGGTCATTTCGTTCGGCCAAAAAGTGTTTAGGACCCGCGTGATTAGGCATTCGCTCAACCCCGTTTGGGACGAGAAGCTGCTCTTCCACGTGAGGAGGCACGAGAGCTCGTACACCGCGCAGTTTGCAGTACTCGACTGGGACAAGGTGGGTGTCTTCATGACGCGTGGGGGTCAATTGCTGATGGTGGTGTAGGTTTCTGGGAACGACATGGTCGGGACTTGCACGCTCCCTCTGAGCGAGCTGATGGCCGACGCGCCAAAGCCCAACCCCGAGACTGGTCTGTACGACAAGGAGGTCGACGGGAAGCATGCCATGAAAGAGTTCACCGTAAGTGTCGCGCCTTCACGATATACGCCGATCGCTAACTTGCCTCTTCAGCTGCCCATCGCCACGGACAAGGACATGGCCTGGGAAGCCAAGCACTCCCCCAAGCTCACCGTGCGCGCCAAGTTTGAGCCCTACGACGCTCTGCGCCAGCGCTTCTGGCGCCAGTACATCACCCAGTACGACGCCGACGACACCGGGACCATGTCCTACACAGAGCTCACCGCCATGCTCGACTCTCTCGGCTCGACGCTTACGCGCCACACCATCGAGGGTTACTTCTCCAGCTGCAACAAGTCGGCGGAGAATGACGAGCTCACGATAGAGGAGGTGATCAAGTGTCTGGAGGCGGAGGTAACGAAGAGTCGGTCGGAGAAGGCCAAGGTTGTGTCGGACGATACGCTGGCTACGACGGGGGCGGTGACGCCTGCTGTGGGGGCACAGCCCGCGCAGGACGGTTTGGGAATGGTGGGCCCGCAGGGTAATATTTCGTCCCCCGTCGACCCGGACGAGCTCGCTAGCCATATCCTGAAGAGCAAGCCTCGTAACCAGGACGGCGCGGGAGACGATGACACCGCAGGCAACCAGGCGACGCTCACGGACCACCCTACCAAGGTCGAGCCTGGCGTGCCGGCCGTCAAGGTTGAGCGTACCGCGTCGTTTGACGGCGAGACGGTGCCCGCCTCAGGCCAGCCTGACGGCGTCTCGTCCCCTCAGTCAAGCACGTCCGAGGCAGACGACGACTCCACCCCGGCGGACGACCGCGAGCGCGTGATCAACATCAAAGCGTGCCCGCTGTGCCACCGTCCCCGCCTGGGCAAGAAGTCTGAGCAGGACATCGTGACCCACCTGGCTGTCTGCGCGTCGGCAGACTGGTCCCGCGTGGACAGGATCGTCACGGCAAACTACGTGACGAGTAGTCAGGCGCAGCGCAAGTTCTTGAGCAAGATTGTGAACAAGGTGGCGGCGGGGAGCTATGCGCTGGGGGCGAACAGCGCGAATGTGATTGTGCAGGATCGGAGGACGGGGCAGCTCCAGGAGGAGAAGATGGCGGTAAGTCCGCTGTAGGTCTACGCGAGATCTAAAGCTGACGAGTCGGGCAGGTTTACGTGAGGATGGGGATCAGGGTGCTGTACAAGGGTGCAAAGACAAGCATGCACGGTGCACGAGGTAAATGCTAGACGTGACACAGCCAATGGACCGCTAGCTGACGCAGCTTGACAGCCCGGAAACTCCTCAAATCCTTATCTGTCAAACAAGGCATCAAGTACGACTCTCCCGCCTCCGCCGTCGACATCCCAGGCTTCATCGCCTTCCACCGACTCGACGTCAACGAGATCCTCGACCCGCTCGACTCGTTCAAGAACTTCAACGAGTTCTTCTACCGCAAACTCAAGCCTGACGCGCGCCCGCTCGAAGAGCCAGAGAACCCTTACAGGCTCGTGTCGTGCGCGGACTGTCGGATGATGGCGTTTGAGACGGTGACCGAGGCGACGCAGATTTGGATTAAGGGGAGGGAGTTTACGGTTGGGAGATTGTTGGGGCCGAACTATAAGGATGTGGCGGCGAGGTATGAGGGCGGGGCGCTGGCGATCTTCCGGTGGGTCCTAACTCCAGCAACAGTAGGCCTCCGTGCACCTGTAACTGACCAGGACCGCAGGCTCGCTCCCCAGGACTACCATCGATTCCACTCGCCCGTGGCGGGCAAGATCGGCAAGATGACCATGATCGATGGCGAGTACTATACCGTCAACCCGCAGGCGATCAGAACCACGCTGGATGTCTATGGAGAGAATGTGAGGAAGGTGGTGCCGATCCAGAGTGAGGAGTTTGGGCTCGTCATGACTGTCTGGGTGGGGGCTATGAGTGAGTGGTGTCCAGTCTGATGCGACGGAGCAGGTTGCTGATGACGGTGTACAGTGGTTGGGAGTATCTTGACATCGGTGGAGGAAGGGCAGGAGGTCAACCGCGGCGACGAGCTCGGGTACTTTGCCTTCGGTACGTTCACCTGCTGTGTCACCTACTCTCCTAGCTCACGGACCACACGCTGACGTCCTCACTCTCCCTTCTAGGCGGCTCAACTATCGTCTGCCTTTTCGAGAAGGGCGCGGTCAAGTGGGACGTCGACCTCCTCCAGAACGGACGCGCGAGCATCGAGACGCTCGTGCGTATGGGGATGGGTATTGGGACGGGTACGCGGAAGCCTTGAGCGAGGCGGGGTGGATTGTGAGGGGTTGTAGGAGGTGAAGCATGTTGGAGTGGGGATTGAGGGGATGGATGGGATGGGGAAGGGTGTACACATGGACGATTGGGCAGGGGCAGCTGTAACATAGACAAAATACGAAGAGTTGAAGGAAGAAGGGAAGGAAATAGCAGTGAACGTAGTGGTGGCCGATGCTAGGTAGCGCTTCTTGATGAACATAATGAGGCCTAAAGCATTTCGTCTGTGAACGGACATGGGCAAAGGGACGTGTAGTCACATCAAGAGAGACGAGAAGAGTGCCCAAGAAGTTAGAACCGTGCCAGCTCCGTACCATGAAGAGCTAGTTTCCCCCACACCTCAAGAGAAGTCACAATCGCACCTTTGGTAAAAACGAGCATCAGGTATGCTGTGCATAATGAATGACTACAGCGGTTGCTGCATCCATCAATAGAGAAGCATGCCTGGAGAAGCAGAGTATCTCCATGTAGGGTGTGAACTCACAACAGGCTGTGGCTGTAACTGCGCATTTTAAAGCAGAAAACGTAGAAGTCCGCGTAGCACAGTGGTAGTGCGCTTGACTACGATTAACATCCGAATCAAGAGGTCGTGGTTTCGAGCACCACCGTGGATTTTCTTTTTGCCCTTCGTACCTTTGGTACCCCTACCCCTCTGCGGTCGGGCTCTTGAGCCTTCGAAGCTGCAGTCTTCACCCTTTCCCTTCTCGGCGATTTTTCCGGTCGTTGTTCTTTTTGCCCTCGACCCTGCCCTGCGTAAGCGCGTAAGCGACCCGCTCTTTTTGCAGCCCTGGGGTAGAACCCAGCCAAAAGCGACGGAAAACATGGCAAGTCCGCGTAGCACAGTGGTAGTGCGCTTGACTACGATTCAACATCCGAATCAAGAGGTCGTGGTTTCGAGCACCACCGTGGATTTCCTTTTTGGCATCTGAGGCATCTTGCCATCTTCCGGTCTGCCCTTGTCGCCGGATGGGCGTGGTGGTGGGTTGAAGTAGTCATGCACTCTGTATGGTGGTTGCAGTGCGCTGCCCTTGTCGCATCTGACTCTGAAGGGCTGGCCTCTCTCGCTCGCTGCGTCCTCTTCTTTCTTTTTGGGTTGTGCCCGCCGCTGAACGGCCGCCGGCCTCCTACTACTACGTCTCCTCTTCTGTGCTGCACAGCACTGTCCGCTGCGTGCGCCGTCTGTCTCTTTATCATGACTACGTATATGTGTCACTCGCCCGGTGTAGAGCCGCCGATGTCCCGTATCGATAAACCGAAAGAAGCGGTCGAGGTCGACTCGAGTTGGGGACCACCACCCAGCGAACGGCTTTCCTCACCTAGTGGTGGTGTCGATGCTGGCCGGCCGGACGCTGCTTCACGTCAGCGAGCAAGGTATATAGTTTGTCACCGCCGGCATGTGCCCCGTACGATGGCATCACTATTGTCTATGTGCTGCTTTGCTGCAGAGGGGAAATTCCGTGCATACCATGCTCTCATCTCTCATGGGTCGTGACCCGTGGCCGTGGGGTGTACGGAAACACCGTGCCCGCCGCCGCATGATGACTCAATCGCCTCTTGGTGAGTCATCTGCCTAGAGTCCTTTGGCTATGGTGGACGACGCGGACACACCTGTTCCGCTGGCGCATAGCTCTGTTGTTCCGTTCCGCATGCCGGAGCCGTGCGCCGCGCTGACGCGATCATCCTTGCCGGCTCTTCGCGCCGCACACACCTCTCCGGCTCTCCCTCTCTTTCAGCCGTGCCCATGACCAAGATCCGCGTGTGGTGACAATTTCAATCTGCCTGCATAGTTCACCTATTCCAAACCCCCGTACCATACAATATAGCGTATGTATAAAAACAGGAGACAAGAAAGTGTGTGTTGCGTTGCGTGCGACAGAATGGGTGTGATTTGGGTACGAGATAAGATCCGATAGTCTAAGGCTTTGGTTGAACAAACAAAGAAAACATAACTAAAAAATGGGGATAAAACGAAATTGAATAGGTAGATAGCGAAATGAAGTTGTAAAGTGAGAGACAATGTGAAAGTATAACAGCGTTTTTCTCCTGCTCTATGAAACCCCTTGGATCCCAGACAACCGGACTGAACCTTCTGACTGTGAACAACCCCCCTCCCCTCCCCCTGACCCCTGACCCCTACTACCAGCGCCTACTCCTCGCGCTTCCTCTTCCCGAGCGACGCAAGCGCCGCCTGCAAAGCGTCCCCTGTTGTGTCATGCCCGGCCGAGGCAGCAGCGGCGACGGCGGCGGTGGCAGACGCGCCGGAGCCGTTGAGGACGATGGCCTTGAGCAGGCGGTTCTCGTTCTCGAGGGAGGTGTTCTCGGCAGCGAGGGCGGCGACTTGGGCTTCGAGCTCCTCTGCGGTGGGGGGTTAGCGTGGGCGTGGGGGACAGGAAAGGGGGGAGGGAACGTACTAGCTCGGTGCTCGAGAGCCTGCTCGCGCTCCTTCTTCTTTGCGCGGAAACGCGCCGACGCCTCCGTGTTCCTCCTCCGCTTGCTGTTTGGCAGGCTGCTTGTTAGTCGAGGTTCCCATGCGGCCGAGACAGTAAGTAACTCACTCCTCCTCAATCTCGACGGCGGGCGCGCCCATCGACTTGAGCTTCTTGGCGCCCGAGGGGCGGGCGTCCTCGGGGGACGACTCGAACGCGGACGCCGAGCTGGGCATGACGTCCGAGGGGACGCCGATAGGGGTGGGCGCGGCGGAGGGCGCGGTGCCGGGGCCGGCGCCGTAGGGCGCAGGGAGGGAGAGGAGGTAGTTGTGCGCGAGGCTGGGGGTGGGCGGGGGCGCGTGGTGCACGGGGAGCACGGCGTGCTGCTGGTGGTGCGCATGAGAGTGAGGGTGGGGGTGGGCGGGAGCGCTCGCCGCGCCGGACTGGCCAATGTACGCAGCGAGGAAAGACTCGAGCGTGGGGCCGCCGGGAGCAGCCTTGCCGTCGTCGCGAGAGGACACGGACGAAGGGGTAGGCGCCGCGGCCGGGGTAGGCGCGGGCGCGTGCAGCGCCGCAGCGTGCTTGAGCTTGTCCGCCTCGTCCCGGCGGTGGTCTGCCGGGGAGGGGGCGGAGCCAAAGTTCCTAAAGAGCTCGTCGGCGTGGAGGAACCCCCAGAAGGCTTCTTCTTGCTCCTGGTTCATGCCGGTAGAAGGGGGGGTGTTGCCGGGGATGGCGTTGAGCGTCTGGAGGTGCTCGGGGAGGTCGGGAAACATGGTGGCGGTTGGTGTGTGGGTAGAGAGGAGGAAGAGGGAGACGATGTGGTGGGTGTGGTGGGTGGGTGGGAGCTGGCTTCCAGGTGATCAAAGGATCAGAGGCGGAAGAGAGGGGATGAAAAGAGAGACAATAGGACGGCGAGTGGCTGCGGTGTGCTGCCTCTCTGAGTGACTATTGTGTGTATTTGTCGTGGGACAGTGGGGTGCGATGGTGCGATGGTGGGGGAGGGAGGAGGTAGCGCGTGGTGGTAGCGTGGAGGGAGTGATGGATGGAGTGATGGATGGTGGTCGAGAGGGAGGGGTGGGGGAAGGAAAGGGGTTGGCTGTGCGGTTTTTGGGGTGGTGGGGTGTGGCTGGGTGGGGGCGACTTGGCTCTTGCGAGTCAGTCAGCCTGGGTGCAGAGGAGATGGCTGCCTGCTGCTTTTGGGCGGTGTGGGGTTTGTCGATGCAGTGCTGGATCAACACTGGCAAGAGATGAGTGAGCTTGATGGAGGATGAACAAGCAGGCAGAGAGGGGGAAGAGAATTTGGAATCCACCGGGGGAGGGGGGGGCTCTTCCAGATTCCCTCCCTCGCAATTCCAAATCGCCGTGGCGCAGAGAAAAGGGTCCACCCTCAGGGACACACAGGGCCTCCACCTCGCTTGCTGACAAAAACCGCCACTCTGACGCCGCCACACCCGGCAATCGTCGGGTCAGCCGCTAGTCATTTTACCGCCCGCGCCTAACCCACAGGGAGCATGGCCTAACTGACACATAGCATAGGCGCGAGCCGGCGTTTTTCGACTTTCGAAACTCCGCTTTGGTTCCGTCGAACATGCGTTTTGGCATGCACATGCTTCAAGCACCTGCTGCCTCTTCTTCATCCCTCAAGACTCCGTCACTCTTTTACTCACCCCCCTACTCAAAACGCAGGAACTGGACGAGATGGTGGTGAGTCCGCTGTCACTGCTGGGGCGCCGCTGTGCTGGGTGTGCTTGATGGGGCTTGCTCGCTGGAGGACGGAGGTTGGAGGTGGACTGGAGATATGGAGAACGTGCGAGGGAGAAGGGATGGAGGGAGGAGCGTGAGGATAGGGAGGATTACTCTCTGTGGTCTTTCTGGCGGGGCAAGGAGAACGAGGGAGCTGGAGGGCTAGAGAGATACGGCGGACGAGCGAGCAAGCAAGCAGCACAGCGGCGCACCCAACATCAACAACCCACGCACCTTAACTGACCCCTCCCCCCCATAGCAATCCACTTTCAAGCGCTTCGTCGAGGTTGGCCGAGTTGTCCTCGTCAACGACGGTCCCTCCGCCGGCAAGCTTGCCGTGATCGTCGAGATCATCGACCACAACAGGGTGCGTCTACCCTCCTCTCCCCCCTCCCTCGTACCCCCAACTGACACACCACGCAGGCGCTCATCGAGGGCCCCACCACCTCCGTCCCCCGCCAAGCCTTCCCCTACCGCAACCTCATCCTCACCCCTTACACCATCGCGTCCCTCCCCCGAGGCGTCGGCTCCGGCCCCCTCAAGAAGGCCGTGGAGAAGGCCGGTGTCTCGGAGAAGTGGAGCCAGAGCGGATGGGCCAAGAAGCTGGCTGCCAGGCAGCAGAGGAAGGTGCGTCGCGGCCCCCGTGTATCTTTTCGCCCCCACGTCCGAACGCCCACTGACCCCCACCCCTCTTCATCCAACAGGAGTCCTCCGACTTTGACCGATTCCAGATCCAGCTCGCCAAGAAGTCTCGTCGGGATCTCGTCCGCAAGGCGTACGTCAAGGAGAAGAAGGCGTCTGCTTAAGCGGCCGGTGCTTTTCTTTGACGAGGGGAGGGAGGCGTGTACGAGGAGGGACATGAGAGGAGGGGATGGAGGGGGGCTACATTGTAGATGCTAAGATGGCTACTGCAAGTGGTCGTGGGTTATGACACTTCTGATCATTCCATGGCTTGGGCTTGGGCGTATGGTGGGGTTGTTTGGGCAGGACGAGGTGGGGCGTCGTGGGGCGGGATACAGGTGGACATGGAGGAGTCGTTGGGGATAGGGGGTCGTGCTGATATTGCAGGGGACACGGGCGGATGGGCTGGGGTCGTCGGGCAGAAGGATCAACGGTCATTGGGCATCAAGGACTCCATCGTCACAACTACCGGCACGGTGGTACGCTATCACCTTGTTCACTTAACCGCCATGGTCTGCTCACTTATCGCGGCTGCTCATCAATACTCACCGTCACACTCGTCAAGCTTACCCTCGCAGGCCACACAACCGTCAACACCATACGCCAATTCGCTCACCGTGACAGCTTCGACCTAGCTTGCTGCCACCAATGCGACCCACAGCCCGACCCGTCTCCTTCCCCACTACCAGGCCCGACATCCGCCGACCCTCCCCCTCCCTCGCCGTCGCCTACGCCATCGTTTCCGGACGGAGACCACACTAGGTACCGATCCCTTTCACCCCTCGCCGTCTCTGCGCGGTCTACTCGATACACCGACCTCGACGCCGCCGACTGGCTTGACCCGGGACTGGAGGTGTGGATGCGCTGGCGAGCAAGGGTATCAGCGTCGCTGATGAGCATGATGAAGCGGTCGTGCGGGCCGGGCACGCCCCAGTCGAACGGCTCGTTGTAGACTTGGGTGAAACCTTGTTTCTCTAGGCCTGTCTGTCCTTGCCCGTACCCAGCCGGGTAAGCTGTGCACCCTCTTCACCCTGGTGCCATGCGCACCCCCCGCGAAAGCTA